TTGTGTAAATGTTTTTTGTGTATGTGATGAAAGGCCTATATACATTACAAGCGTATTAGCAATTTTTTAAATGTTGTAATATTATTTATAAAGTATTAAATAAATTATATAATTTTGAAAAATTTAAAGTCTTCCCGGGCCCGGCGGCCCGGTGGACTACCCGGCCCGCTCTTACGGGCGGGTATGGACATGGGGTTAGGCCCGTTTTTGCGGGCCGGGCCGGGCCCGCCCACACACGATGGGCAGAAAACTTATGAAAAGCCCGGCCCGAGCCCGGCCCGAGCCCGGCCCGAACCCGCTTTTGTGCAGGTCTAAGCTGGAGCTTATCCTTTTACCCGACCCGACCCATGTCTAATCTGATGTTTTGGGCGGGAAAATTGCCTAAAAATCCACCTCTTTTTATATATAGATAGATAATCAGGACACCTAGCTAGTTCTAACTAGGTTACTCATCAAACACAAATCCTTGTAATCACACACATGGCTAGAATTAATAGGACTTGTTCAAACTCTTCTAAATTCATTAGAAATTCTCATATATTAAGAAGAAGTAATTTAGAGCTTATTAATAATATATCTATCTCTTAAATTTGTTATTCATCTTCTTCATTTCACAACACGTTATTAGCACGGATCTGCTCAAAACTCTTCAAGAAATCATCTTCCTGTAGATATGGAAATTACAAATGATAAAGAATTATGTCTGATAGACAGCGCTACAACGCACACCATTTTGAGAAATAAAATATATTTTTCTCAAATGACTTTAGTTGAAGCTAAAGTCAATACGATATCAGGTGTTGCGAAGTTCATTGAAGGCTCCGGGAAAGCATATGTTAGGGGTGGGCAAAAATACCGAACCGGCATGGTACCGAACCGAACCGATATGGTACCGGACCGAAAAACGGGGTTTGAAACGGATCTCAATTTTTTTGTCCCGAACCGAACTGTACCGATTCTAAACAATGTCATGACCGGTTCTCATAAAATGAGAACCGAAACCGGACCGAAGTATGATTTAATTATTTAAATTTACATTTATACCATTATTTTGACTAGTGTCTTTACATTTTCACCGTTTTTGCTAGTTCAAAGGAAGCCTGGAATCGGACCGATGTATGGTTTAATCATTTAAATTTGTACTACTATAATTTATCTGAAATTTATTAATTATGTAATACTACCTTCGTCCCAAATTAATTTGCAAAATTAACTTTTTTTGTCAAACAGATTCATTTTATTCACTTAACTAGAATGTCAATTTTTAATTATATTTAATTTTGAGCTTGCAACATTGAAGAAATTTCAATGTAGTTTCTGAATATGTTTATTTTAATTATTAAAAATTGAATTAATTATCAATGAAGAGAATATAACTCTAACATTGGTTGACCAAAAAATATTGACTTTGCATGTCAATTTGGGATGGAATGAGTATGAAAATTGATAAATTGTGTAGATTTTTGGAGGATGACTAAACTTTAATTGTCTCTTAAACACTTGGAAAAAGTGGCATTGTTTGGTATTGGTATGGCATGGTACCGTCCCGTTTCAAAATGAAACCGTACCGAACAGGTTTAGGTCTAAGACCGAACCGAACCGTTTGAATAGTAACGGTACGGGTACGGGTTCGGCCAAATATTGGACCGGACTGGACCGCGCCCACCCCTAGCATATGTGATGCTCCCTAATGGGACAAAAATAATTATAAATGACGCTTTATACTCCAGCAAATCGCGGAGAAATTTATTAAGCTTTAAAGATATGCGTCAAAATGGTTATCACATAGAAACCATTAATGAAAATCAAAAGGAATATATTTGTCTTATGACAATTAAATCTAGCACTAAATATATTTGTGAAAAAATACCAGCATATTCCTCAAGACTATATTACACTTATATTAGTCCATTCGAAATAAATTTGGTTTCTAACAAAAAGTTAGATGATCAGAAAACATTCACGTTGTCGTATGACCGTTTAGGTCACCCAGGTCATGTAATGATGCATAAAATCATTAAGACTTCACTTGGACACCGATTAAAGAATATTAGGGTTCCATTCAAGTGATTTTCCTTGTAAGGCCTGTTTTCTTGGCAAAATGATCATCAGGCCTTCTATGAACAAAATTGCAACTGAATCACCTGCATTTTTAGAAAGAATTCAAGGAGATATTTGTGGGCCGATAGCCCCACCATGTGGATCATTTCAATATTTTATGGTGTTGATTGATGCTTCAACACGTTGGTCACATGTTAGTCTTTTATCGACTAGAAATTTAGCATTTGCTAAACTCCTTGCTCAAATTATACGATTAATAGCTCATTTTCCGGATCATTCTATAAAGAGAATCCGACTTGATAATGCGGGAGAATTTACATCCCAAACATTTAACGACTATTGTATGTCGATTGGGATTGATGTGGAGCACCCTGTTGTTCATGTCCATACACAAAATGATCTTGCTGAATTTTTGATTAAACGATTACAATTAATCATCAGGCCATTATTAATGAAGTGTAATTTACCTTCATCAGCTTGGGGACATGCTATTTTACATGCAGCAAATTTAATTCGACTTAGACCGACTGCATATCATGAATATTCCCCAATGCAATTAGTAACTGGACAAGAGCCGAACTTAGCACACATTAAGATATTTGGTTGTGTTGTTTATGTTCCAATTGCTCCACCTCATCGTATAAAAATGGGTCCTCAAAGAAGGTTGAGATTTTATGTTGGATTTGAATCTCGCTCAATAATCAAATATCTCGAAACGGTGACTGATGACTTATTCACAACACGGTTTGCAGACTGTCATTTCAATGAGACAGTATTCCCGACCTTAGGGGGAGAAAATAATAAATTAGACCCGAGTACGAAAGATATAACATGGAATGCAACAGGATTATCGCACCTTGATTTTAGATCGAATATATGTGAGCAAGAGGTGCAAAAGATAATCCATTTACAAAATGTTGCAAATTAGAAAGTGACAAAGAAAGTGACAAAGTCACATATTCCTGCTATGAATTCTCCTGCCAGAATCGAAATCCCAGCGGAGAATTCTGATAAATCTCTTACAAATGATTCTTCTATACGCAAAAAGCGTGGCAGGCCACTTGGATCAAAAGATATAAAACCAAGAAAAACTAAAAGGCAGAAATTGATCTGTGATGCCAATGATGTTCATCCTTCTGAACAAGAAAATGAACAATTTGAAAATACTGGCATAGAAAATGATATTGACAAAACAAACATCTCAAACGATGATCCAATTTCCTTAAATGAGGACGATATTCCAGATAATGATAGAAACATTGATAATTATGAAATTTCAATCAATTGCGTTTCAACTGGAATGCAATGGATTCGAAAAGATATTGATATTAATGAGATATTTGTCTATGCCGTTGCCACAAATGTTATGAATGAAAACAATGACAATGAGCCAACATCAATTGAAGAATGTCGGAAACGACAAGATTGGCCAAAATGGAATGAAGCTATTCAGGCTGAATTAAAATCATTAGAAAAATGTGATGTTTTTGGACCGATAGTCCCTACGCCAAAAGGCGTAAAACCTGTGGGTTTTAAATGGGTATTTGTGCGTAAACGCAATGAAAAGAATGAAATTGTTAGATATAAAGCCCGACTTGTTGCCCACGGTTTTTCTCAAATGCCAGGAATTGATTATGAAGAAACCTATTCTCCAGTAGTTGATGCAACTACATTAAGGTTTCTCATTGGCATGTCTGGTTTTGAAAGGCTGCAAATGCGCCTAATGGATGTAGTGACTGCATATTTATACGGTTCACTCGATACAGACATTTATATGAAAGTTCCCGGTGGATTTAGAATGCCTGAAGCTTATAGCTCGAAACCTCGAGACATGTTTTCCATTAAACTACAAAAGTCATTGTATGAACTAAAACAATCTGGACGAATGTGGTATAATCGTCTCAGTGAATACCTTCTCAAAGAAGGATATAAGAATGATTCGATTAGTCCATGTGTTTTCATTCGGCGATCAAGTTCAAGATTCACCATAATTGCAGTCTATGTTGATGACTTAAATATTATTGGAACTCCCGATGAAATTGAAAGTACTGCCAAATATCTTATGAAAGAATTTGAAATGAAAGATCTCGGGAGAACCAAATTTTATCTTGGACTTCAAATTTAGCATTTGAAGAATGGAATTTTCATTCATCAATCCAATTACACCGAGAAAGTTTTGAAGAGATTCTATATGGACAAAGCTCATCCGATCCACTGACTTCACCAATGGTGGTTCGATCTCTCAACATACACGATGATCCATTCCGTCCACGAGAAGACGATGAAGATATACTCGGTCCCGAAGTACCATATCTGAGTGCTATCGGAGCTTTAATGTTTTTAGCTAATAATACTAGACCAGATATTGCATTTTCAGTAAATTTATTAGCTAGGGACAACTCATGTCCAACAAGACGTCATTGAATGGGATCAAGCACATATTCCGTTATCTCCGTGGTACAGTTGATCTCGGCCTATTCTACCACAAAGATGCAAAAGCTTCTTTAATCGGATATGCAGACGCTGGATACTTATCAGATCCTCAAAATATGAAATCACAAACCGGGTACGTATTTACTTATGGTAATACCGCAATCTCGTGGAGATCTATGAAACAGACGTTGACAGCTACATCATCAAATCATTTGGAGTTAATTGCACTATATGAAACCGGAAGAGAATGTGTATGGCTACGATCTATGATTCAACACATCCAGAATGAATGCGGTATGAAGCCTATTACTGCCAAATCGTGACGGCCGGACAAAGTCTCCTATAGAAGGACTTAATTGACTTTTTTATGAAAGTTCGAGGACCTATTTGACAGTTTTCCCTTTGAAATATGATACTGCCAAAACATGGCAGTAATTAATCCTATTTTAGGAATAAAAATATGACAATCCTATTTTGGAATTTTCAAACCCTTTTAGTCATATTTTGGGTAATATTCTCTAGTTTTAGTTACAATATTGTTCGAGGCTGTATTGTAAGCCTTTTGACTAATGATTTATTAGTAATATAGTTGCTTTGTTTCTGGTATAAAATAAATAGATGAAAAGTAAAGAATGATAAAAAAAATAAATCTACTTGTTTTCTATGGATAAAAAATAAATGAATAACCATTTACAGAGTTAATTAAGACGGACAGGTGGTAGATTCGGTTTTAATCCCCTCGATCAAAACCGACGGTTGTTGTGCATATCATGGAAGATCAGAAGAATCAGCATCCAAAAAACCTAGCGCATCCACGACATCTTTCGTGCTCCATCCCGCACGCAACAGCCTCCTCGCTAACAACCTCACGTGACTTGCAACGCCTTCCCTATCCGAAATAATCTCACCGTTCGTTTTCTCACGATCACAGCCGTTCATCATCATCATCTCCGCCACATCCTCCTCCTTCCACCCTCCGTTCATCAACCGCCGCACCACCTCCCCCAAACACCCGTCCAAATCCTCTCCCCACCACCGCATTCCTAATTTTCCGGCACCGGATTTCTCCCGTTCCTCCGCCAACTCCGTCCAGAACTCGATCCTCCGCGCCTCCGTGGCCGCCCACGCAGGCGCATTATTCAAGCTGCTAGACTGCCGGAGAACTGCTGAATCATCGCGTCTCCTGAAATCAATCCGCTGGAAAAATCCGGTGAGGTCGAAGCTCCACACCTTCACTTCAACGCCATGCACGTAGAAGACAGGATTGCCGGCAAAACACGGCGCAGACGGAATGTAGAAATGGCGATAAATAGGGACGAGAACCGGAGCCTTCCTGAGAATCTCCTTAGCCGAAATCACTGCCTCGTCGTCATCTTCAGGCCTATTTCCCCACGAATCGATCCAGAATCCGCGTCTCGAAACCTCGTTACAGAAACCTAAGATTGGGAGATTGGTCTGAATTTCGAGCTGTTGCGGAGACGCCGATCGCCAGTTTGGAAATCCGGGGCCTACGGGAAGGCCTTCTCGGAGGATAGAGCGGAGGTCAGGAGGGAAAGTGAAATCCAAATTGGATTCGACGGCGGAGAATTCAACGTCGGAGAGCCCTTCCTCCACCGGAATATCGACGGATTTGAGGTGGTCGATGATATTCTTTGCGTATGCAGCGTAGGAGAAACAAACTCTTCCTGGTCTTGGATTGCTTATTATAGCCATGGACGTGACTATTACTGATTCTGCTAAGCTCGATACTGCCATATATATTTCGATCGGATCATCTGAAACGATGATGAAAAATGGAGATCGAAAAAAGAGGAGAAGTTGTGGACCGGAGAATATATATTCGAAATGGTCACGACTCACGAAGGCATTGGGAATTTCAAAACACGGAAAATTAGTTTCCGAAGTGATAAAATAAGAGTTTAGTTTGACTTCTAATCACGAGATATACTCCAGTAATGATGATTTGATGATAATATTAATATCTGACCAAATATGCATCTGGAACAAGTTTTATATGCGCTGTCTATGGAGGCATGGAAACGCTGAGGAGAGGCGCTTTGTGTGTGATGTCGGGCATGTAAAATGTGTATCAAAGGAAACATGTTTTATACATTTTGAGTGATTACTCATTAGTTGCAATTTTATACTCAAGTTATCGCTCTTTTAAGAGCATCTTTTATGTATGGGAAAATGGATTACTTTGGAAATGCATTTTAAAAAGGTACTGAGTATAAATAGACTAGACTTTGAGATTAAATAAATAACATGCTCCGAGCCTCAAACAAAAATGTACTAGTATATACGAAGTGTTACTGAGTTGAAATTAAATAACACGCACAAATGCACAATGTTTACTGTTCTTTCTACTTTCAAAAAGTTACTGTGAAAGTCTAACTCATCAAATGATAGATCCCTTTTTGATCGCAACAGCCAACAGGCTAGGGCACACAAAGCTTCCTCCACCAATCCACCATCGCTGAAGATCGACTTTCGCAGGGGAGGCGGATGTCATTCGGTCACAAAAGGTCCCATCTTCGTCTCGTCGGTGATGAATACCCTTCGTCGCAGACTCGCAGGTGAGGCCATCCTCGTCTGGTAGCTGTCGCAGACCTGCCATCTCAGTTACTCTAGTCTCATCGTGTGACTGTTGAACTGTAGACTCTCCGTCGTAACTCATAAGGGAGTGTCACTCCAACCGATCACACCCCCTCTGATCGGTATCGCAGTCTTAAATTTGTCCCATTTTTTCAAATTACCGTCAATGACATTTACCATGACAGAACCAAACAAAAGTAAATGTTGTGAGCCATCTAGCTATCTGAGCGTCGAGTTGTACAATTGGGTATGCCGCTGTTGCTCGTTGAATCTGGTAGCATTTGTTTGCCTTGTCTCCGGTTGTTTTTGTCTCTGGTAGCATCTCTTTTTTAGATTATATTGTGGGGTGTTTTTAGAAGAGGAGTAAAGTGCACTATAAACCGAGTTGTTTGCTTTTTTATTGTATGATGTGGTGTTGAAGAATTGTACCATTGAAGCATAAAAATTATTTTTAAAAGTTTGTGTGTCCACATCAACTTTGTCTATATAGGTGATATGTCCATTTTAGAAAATAAGATAAACGTAATATGTTGCACAATATTTAACACTATTTATTTTTTGGGTGGGGAATAATGACAAAATGAGACTTTAAGCTTTTGATTTAACAAAAATAGGACAAAATTTCGTTTGAACAAAAAAAACTGACTAGAAATTACTCCGTATGTCAATTGTCAAAAAATTACCCCTCAAACATAGATCAAGGTTCATAAGTTTGCTCATCATTGGTTTTGCGGCCCTCCTTGTTTTGCATCTCAGCGTCAACCATAGCAACAATGGTTTCTTTGTTCGCCCCCTTCATCCTAGATCTCATCATGATTCACGCACACATGTGCCTCAATTTTCATCACATGCATTCAATTTTTTATTTTCTTCTTCCGAGATGCCATCTTAATAAAAATACGAACAATACCTCACTGTCCCTCCATCTCTGGCATCGCTTGGAGGGTGGGGTGGCATACTCTTCGCCGTAGATGGAGCTGGTGAGCATGTCACTGAATGACGAAGATGGCCCACGAGAAGTGGCACCAAGACTGAATTCAGAAGCGTCGCTTGGAGAATTGGGTGGCACCACTGCCACAAATGGAATTGGTGAAGATGCAGAGTGCTTCTTCCTATCGCAAAAAAATTGATTTGTTTGTATGAGGCGGAGAGATGAGAACATGCGGGTTGGGGAGCTATTTGGTTTCTGTGAGACAGATGAGAGCCTCACGAATTTTCCTATTGAATGTAAAGGTATTCGAGAAACAAAGACGTAGATGTAATATAGATTCAAATAGGCACGTTGCTTGAGGAGGAAATGACTACTCAATAAAGTCGTGCAATTATGTAGGATGATTAGCTGCGGAATATGAGTGAAGTGTTGGCCCCATAGAATTACATTTTGAAAAAAGACAATTAGTCTAAGTTAAAGCACATTCATACAAGCTGTAAAAGGAAAGACCAACTCGGCAACTTACTATGAGGCTTTTAGAGTCCATCTTTGCAAAATCGAAACTCAAATTCACCTTTGACTCTTAGACAATCAAAATACTTAACCTACAATTCCAAATATATATACACTGAAATCCACCTTTGACTATTATTAGAAGGAGAAAGACCAACTTAATTGAAATAAAATATTACCTCTCCACTTAAAAGAGAAGATCCTCTTTTTAAATGAAATACTTAGTACAAGATAGGACTTAGGAGTATAAAAAATTACACCAATCTGAATTTGAAATAATTTACATAATTTAACCCTAATCTCGCCAGCCGTGTGCTTCAGAGTAGTCATATATATGAAAAAGAAGAACTGTGTGATTTTTTGGGGCTGGAGTAGGAATACAATGTTGTATATTTTAGCATTGCTAAGGATGAAATAGCAGAGAATAGAAGTAAATAAGAGAAAAGTTTCATTTCTTGGAGAAGAGGTTGCGGCAGAAGAAAAGGATGAAGGAGACGGAGGGTTGTGCCCGTTGGCAGTATCACTGTATCACTATGCTCCACTCCTAAATTTCTCAAAACGTTTAGAAGGAAAAGGTTATTGGGGGAATCATTCAATTGGATAAATTTAGCCAATAAGTTAAAGAAAAATTATAAGAACCTTTTGAGTGAAATATACTCCAAGAGGCACCCATGCTTGCCTCAATCACCCACAAATTGTCCAAGTACTTAATGAGTTTGGAGCAGTGGAAAAAACCTTTTGAAATAAATACATTCCGTAGGTTTTGAATGACTTGTAAAATGGAACAAAAACGTGTAAAACATGTGTCATTCTAAAATCTAAAACAAGACTCTAGGCTTGGCAAGAGATTAAAAGAACATAATAATAGATATAAAGAAAGTTGCTAGAAACTAAATTGGGAAACCGTACATTTGCATAGACTAACAACATACCAAGTGTTTAAGACATGTAAAAAATGTGCAAATGAAATCACATACAAGTAACAAATGATTTGTATGGTAAAATGCGTTTTTGTCTCTAAAAGGCGTTTTAAATGTACTAACAATTAGGAACAAACAATCACGTTATCGTTGTCTACAAAGAGCCAATGCAATCAGTAAATCTGCAATGCATTATAATAATTCAACAATGATTACACAAGGAACTTAATTAAGAATCGGAGGGAGTAAGATGTAGGGGCAGAGAAAAAAAATATTTGGGGTATGATGGAGAGGGAAGGTGAAAACAAGCGCACGGAATGGAAAATGGAGTTTATAGATTAGGACGTTTTCTTTTGGACTCAAGTTTGGTCTAATTTAATCTGGTCTCTGTGTAATTATAAAATACTCCCTCCGTCCCTTATAATTTTGCCAACTTTCCATTTTTGGATGTCCCATTAACTTTGCCACTTTCCCTTTTAAGTAAAGAATTTGTGGTCCCAGTTAATTCTCTCTCTTCTGCACAAACCTCAACCACACATTTTTTACTTTATTAATCCCCGTGCCGGTCAAACTTGGCAAAGTTATTAGGGACGGAGGGAGTACACAAACTCTTGTAATTGAATAGCGGTTTTTTCCCTCCATCAACCACTAACTATGAAGGACAAATTACTTCTTTAGTTTTTTAGAATTACAAACCGTTAATAGAAAATGATTAAAAAAATAGTGTAAGCAAATTTTGTAAATTGAAATGCAATCATAATTAATAGGAAGGGATCGATTCCTTGATTATATATTACACATTTACACACACATGTGTTTGAGTGTTGGAGGCTTTGGTGAATCGTCGACCTCAGGGTGTTTGACTGGCGGAGCTCTGATTCTTGCTGGGGGAGTGGCTGTCAATCTTTGCAGGTCTTTGCACCTATATATGGTCATGTCCATCGAGTAGTGAAGATGACTTTTCTTCTTATGTTTTTGTTTGGACTCGGTTTGATGTTAAGGACAATTTACATATTTTTTTTGAACGATATTTGAATTACATTTATTTATTAATATTTAAGTTTAGTGAGTGTGAATAACAATGTTGAATAGATGCCTAACATAAAAAAACACTAAACAGATTAGGATAGCCCAACACTTAAACGAAACCTAAACAATAGGCATGCATACCTACTTTTTCATCTTATCAAACTTATTAATCAATTTTTTTTAGTAAACATTGAGTTTTTTGTTTCACACACTCAATTTGTAATATTTAAAATAAACAGCCTTACAAGTTGCTTTTTTCAATGAATGTGTTGAATTTGCTGAAAAAGACTACTTTATTTGCAATTGTTTCATAAGATTTTCTCTTTATTGTATTACTAAATTATACTACTTCCGCCTCAAAAAACTTTGAGCCCGTTTGGTAGAACCAAAATCGGCTGTTTTGGCTGATTCTGCTGAAATTTATGATATTCTGGCTGGAGTGGCTGTTTTGGCTGATTCTGCTGATTTAAGAAAAAAATATTTTAAAAATATATTTTATTAATAAATTAAAGAAAAAATTATATGTAAAAATAGCTAAAATGGTCCTCTACAGTAACTTCAGCCAATACAGCCAGAAAAGTAACTTCAACCTTACTTTTTCGGCTTATTACACAATTCAGCGCGCGAAAGTAAAAGTTACGTGTTTGGTGAAAAAGCTGGCTGATAAGCCTGATAAGCCGAAAGTAAAAGTTACGTGTTTTGTCATCTAAAAAAATTTGAACCATGCTTTTTATTAGTATAGTATTATGAAAGTTATAAATTTTGTACTTTTATGAAAATGCTTTTAACAAAGAACATTTTCATATACTCCGTAACTTTTATAGGCGCATCTCCTCATATTTTTCGGAGACTTTTGAAAACCGGAGACTTTTGAAAACCGGAGTTAATTTTTCTAACGGCGTTAGGCGTCATGCCCTAGCTGTGATAACGGAATCGAAAGACAAAGAATGAAACACAGGTGTATCGCTAAAACTGATAGGTCTTGTCAGAGCCTTCTTATGATTCCTTTCTTCTTCTTTTTCGCGCAAAAACAGAGATTGAAAACTCAGGAGAGGATTGAGTAGCCTCCCGTTGGAGCTTCTCGTTTTCCACCTGACGTATTTCTTGCTCAATTATCTCAAGTCTGATAAAGATATCCATGGCTACTCAAAGCTCTTTCTTGCCGACTTATAAGTTCGGCCCCTTTCTTTGAACCTTAGTGGAAGAGAATAGTAAGGTAGGATAAGGTATTTTCGCATCTGGGTAGTTTTCCAAGCGGTATGTCCCATTTTGTTAAAAAAAATGAAACACATGCCCCTACAGGAAAATGGCTCAAACCACATATACTTTTTCCGTACTTTTCCCTTAATTTTATCACATTATTAAGTTATTGTTTCTAAAATAGGTTGAAACATGGCACTCCTTACGAATACTTTCTATGATTATACGTAATAAGAAATTATGGATTTTAAAAAAATGAAGATGTAAAAAAATTAATCATGAGATCTTCATTTTAGAATTTCAAGTTTAACATTTTTGTTGTTGCTTCAGACTTACTGATGGAGAATATTGTCATATACCACAAGAATACTGATAAGTCCGTATTTAGACACGCATTTGATGCGTGTTGGGATCGGCTTTTAATGGTTTTCCTAGCTTTAAGGTGTTACAAGTCTCAATTTTAGCTCAGGTTATGTTTACCGGGCGTTGGTTCGAGTTTTGTGTTGTTTGGAGTCAAAATCGAGAATTTAGAGTCCGACACCGGCGCTCGAGAAGCAATCGGGAAGAGTTGGAGAGCGTTTAAGAAAGATTTGAGAGCTTTGGAGGCCACCGGGAGATTTACGACGAAGATTTGATGAAGAAAGGGCCTTTGGATCGATTGGGGACGAACGGGAAAGAAAAAAACAAGAAAACGGTTCTAGAGCAGTCCGCGCGCCCCGCGGGTCGGTTCTGCACGCCCCGCGGGTGATTCTGAAAGCAAAAAGTTAAGGGGTCTGAACCGCACACCGCACGGCCGAAACCACACACCGCGCGGTCCAGAAATAGCCCCCAGGAGTACCCGCGCGGTTGCATAGTGAGTGTTTTCTGGTTTTTTGTTTTGTGTGTTTTGTTTTTTGCAGCTCAGGGTCTTGCTTTGGGGATGATGTGCCAATGATTACTTGACTCAGTTTAGTTCTACACCGACCAGTGCCTTAGGGAAGTTTCTGCAACTTTTATAATCGCCTGTTTTGTAAATAATTAACTTAAGTTAACTTGGGCACGCATGACCCTTTCCCTTTACCCCCTTGTGCATAGTGCATTTGTTATCATCGAGGACGATGCCAAAGTTTAAGTGTGGGGGAGTGAATTGGGCATTCAGGCAGTAGTTTTTACATGTGATTATTAGAGTTAGGATACACATGTGTTAGTTGTATATTAATAGAAAAGTCATGTCAAAATTTTTGAAATTTTTCTTTAAACGGTGTCTTTGTGAGCTTAAATTTTGACTATGTTTTTAGAACATCTTTGAAGTGTTTAGGCTTAAATTGCTTGCACTATAATCTAGTTGTTAAGAGGATGAACGCATTAGTCACCCATTAAATTATTCCATTAATCATCCACCCCACCTGAAAAAGTCCTTTAGGAGAAGCCACTTTGAGCCTGACCATTTATTCTTTACCCAATTAATTGAGCTCCATAGCCAAATGGTCTGTGTTTCCTTACCCGTGAATTTTTCTGACATAGTCTTGATGTTTAGGGAACTAGGGGATTAATTTGCTAAGTTTAGGGAATTTTTGTAGGAGCCATTTTTGGCACTGTTCCTATGCCCCAAATGGGGTAAGAGCAGCCACCTTTTAGGAATTTGATACTTTTGAGGATTGCATTGTAGGCATGGATTCACTTTGAGTTAATGAACTTTAATTGCTATTTTTCCTTGGTGAGGCCGAAATTAGAATGGGGTAATGTCTAATAAAAATCTGAAAAGTGAAAAATTATTATAGCTAGATCTCTTACCTTGCGAAAGACGGAATGGGAGCCCCGACCAAAAAGCGTAAGATGAGACTTGGGTATCTTTAGAAAGAAATGGCGTTCT